CTATCCTAGCTCGGAAATCTTGAGGCATATTTGCCATATCTGCCCATGATTTGCTCTTTGTAAAGAATTGTATCAATGGAAGATTACACAGTTGTAAAAGACGTGTCAGTGACACGCAATTGCCTTCCACATTAGTACCTGGTCTTCCTACAGTAGGTATAGAGAATTTTCTACAAGCGACATATACTGCACATCCTATCCAATGCAACTGATCACCCTGCAAAGACACATTGAATATCTTTCTTGAAATAATCATACACATACATCAAATATGTTAAAGTATTATTTGAGACTAAAATAAAGTGAAATATTATTAATAGAAGTGGGATTCTAAATTAAAAGAACACAAGGGAAAAGATTGTGTCCCTGTAAATAAACATATATACACGCATTTATACACATTGCAAAAATAAAATCAATCGATTTCTACAAAATTTCTACAAAACGATCTTTTTGTAATTAACGTTAAATAAGTCTGTCGTGCTTTGAGGAATCGGTCGAGAGGTGAATGAACGCCCGAACGTCGCCCGTTTGTCTCGTAGGGATGATCGGCGATTCAAGGACACTCGTGCACCAGGACATTGTCTTCGACGTCTTATGCAAAGCAATACCGTGTTTGCCGTAGGGATTGCTGCACTATCGAAAGGTAAATATTACCTCGAGGGTATAATTCTGCCGAATAGTCTCGTAGGATTTCCAAGCCTCGGACGCGGCGGCCGCGTCCATATTCAGCTTTTGGCAAAGATCCTGGTGCCGGCCGTACATCGAATCCTCCATATCATCCGACTGCCCCATTTTTTCACGACGTAGTCCAGCCAGACGAAAAATCCGAAGAAATACTGCGAGAAAAACACTCTTTACACCGCCATACAAAAACTTCGTTACGCTCTAACGGGGTTGTGCTGTGAAGGATTGGCGGGAAACGACCGAGACGACACGAGCGCCGACATATTTGCCATGTTGGCGGGAATATAGCGCAGAAATGCACCAAGTGGCACCACCTGTACGCCTGCGTGCATGGGACTTTTAATTGGACATTGTTTTCCGATTGGTCGGAAAATTCGAGAGGTTGGCGCTATTCGTTTGTCGAGTCTTGGTCTGGTCAAATAAGATAACGACTCGTTATGTCACTGCTTTTCCACGATCGACTTCGGTTGACGACGAATTGCGGTTTTATGATTTTTTCCAATATCTTTTTCTGTTTTTTTTTTTTTTACGCGGATGCAATGATAACAGAGATATGCGTGCGATTAGGAATCATGAATCATGAACATTTTTGCCGATGCTCTTCACCGCGACGTTTTTGCGTATCCGTTAAGACTCCTAGAATCTTAGAGTGTTTTCTTATGACAGTCAAAATTTCGAAAAATGGAATACCGGAAAAGTCATACGATCAATTAGAATCTTTTTAAATTTAACAAGTTATACAAACTAATAATTCTGATTGGTCGTATGACTTTTTTGAGATTCCGTTTTTCGAAATTCCGGCTGTCATGATTGGGAAGCACCCTATTATTCTCGAAAATTACACACAAAAATTCAAAGGGAATTTATAATATATTGGATTAGTACAAAAGTTCGTGATCGATTCGTATTAATTGAACTGATGAAGTAGCATGGCGACTCTATTATTATTTATATATACAATATATAAAATATATTATATATCGTTGGAAAGATAACAATCACAGATATCATTTAAGTAGAAATCCTATAAAGTTTGGCGAAAGCGAACACAATTTCTAATTGGTTCTCCACCTTGGTTCATTCGGTATTCATCAAATAGCTTCGTACATTGTCGGAAAACGAGTGCGAAGAAAAGAAAAAAATAGATAGTAGCTACAAGCAGACGAATAAAACCTATGTCCGGCATTTAAAGAAAATAGCAATTGTTCTGAGATTTCGGACAAAGAAAAAATTAACAAATTACAATTGCACAATTCGGCCAATTGATCAACTCGATTGGTTTCGTCAGGTCCCAGTGAGAAATGACAATAGAATCGACATCGATGTCGATTCGACGTCGAAATCATCGAATTGACGTCGAATCGACGTCGATTTGACATCGATTTCATTGTCATTTTTCGTTAGGTATTGTCGTCACGTATTGCCTGTTAGAAATCATGTACTATGGAATACTCAGTTTCTGATAGATTGAAATTCTTATTCTCTGTTCTCTGTTCCTTTTATTGTGTGTGCGGATCCCCTAACACTTTTTGCGCATGCATTCATACGAGAAAGCAATATAGTAAGTGCATCCAGAAGCACGATCGCTCACTGAGCGCTTTTGTATCTGTTTGGTCTATATTTTTAGTTCTAACGGAATATGCCAATCAGATGCAAGAGCTTACTGAGCGCTCAGTGAGCGGTATTCTTTGAACATCGCACCCTCCGATTATTATTTTTTTTCGGTCATTACAAAACGATTTAAATGGCAAGAATTTCGATTCTGTGGAGGCTGTTAAAAATTACATCACCGTGTTCTTTGACGCAAAAACCACGCAATTTTTTCAAACGTGATATTCACAAATTGGTTGAACATTGGATTGTAGAGAACGATAGTGAATACATCATTGATTAATAAAGACAGTTTTTTACAATAACAACTGCTTGATTTTTATTTACAAATCGGGCACGAACTTTTACACTGATCCAATATGTAACGTTTGATTTAGACATGCGTTTTGCGCATATAACTTTATCATTCTGTCATGAGTTGCGATC